TGGATGGATAGATAGATAGATAGATAGATAGATAGATAGATAGATAGATAGATAGATAGATAGATAGATAGATAGATAGATAGATAGATAGATAGATAGATAGATAGATAGATAGATAGATAGATAGATAGATAGATAATTCATATGTGTGTGTGTGTTTATTTTTCAGAAGAAAAATATAAATGTGTAATTCAAACAACATCCAAATTGTACTTCTAAGAGTGAGGCAAAAGATTGGGTCTTAAGACCTTTGCAAACATTGAATGTATGCTGCATCATATTTAGTGTTATGAGGGTGGAAGGGCATGGGGTGCTTAGAGGGCTGTCACAGACGAGGCTAATGCAGGAAGACATACAACTGTGCACACTTACATTTACGGCCCAGTAAACTTAACATGCATGTCTTTGGGCTGAGCAGGCAGAGAAAAGCTGTGAAAGCTCATAAAACGTTGCTTATAGAAAGATTACTGTCCAGGTTACAGCCAGGAACCTCGCTGCTGCAAAGCGAAAGTGGAAATGCTTGTTAACTCACATTCAGTTTATAAAGACAGTTTAAAACATTCAGAAAACAAGGTAAAAAAAAAAAAAAAAAAGCTCCCGGGTACCAAGTGTTCTCAAAATAAACTTAAAGAAACTGATGCCCTGGCACATTTCCAATGCTCTAATGTACTTGGTTGCCAATTTATGAATACCTGATGTTGAAAATTTTAGGCAGATCCAAGGACAGCTGCAGCAACCATGAGAATAATTAATGTAAGCAGAGGAACAGATTTGTATTCAGCTAACCCTGCATGAAAAATATCTTCTGTCTCCTTGCAGGTTTTCTCTTTGTTGATTGTTGGAATCGGGGTGTATGCCAAAGTCCAGAAGGCTACAGGTACATAAAAAGCCCTTTCTCCCAATACTTAAATTTAACATTTATTTATTAAACTGCATTACAAAATAAAATTAACATTTTAAATATATATGCTTAGTTTGTTACTTTGCTGTTTCTGTTGTTAAGTGGGGTGATTTGTAGCATTAGTTTGTCTTAGTTTTTTTATTTATTTCTGATTCATAGGACAACAACAAAAGATTAACCTGGTATTAGTCCCAGTGGTCATTTTGCATCATGCATAATCCTCTAACATCCAACCATCATTAATGGTTTTAAACTGTCAGGTAGGGAAGTATAATGTAAAAACTGTAAACAGTGGATTGAACACAATGACATCAATGCAGTGGAAACAAAGGTAGAAACGTAGAACAGAAAGTAAAGGTATGAAAACATGGGCTGTTGTCTCGTCTCTGACAGACACTGTGCGCGACACGTTCCTGATCGACCCAGCTGTCATCCTAATTGTAGTGGGGGTGGTCATGTTCTTCATCACATTCTGTGGCTGCATCGGAGCCCTCAGAGAGAACATTCACCTTCTCAAGACGGTAATAGCCTAAACAGACGTGGTGGCGTGTTCTGCTTCTGGGATGGAAACTAAAATTATGCTGAACTTGAAATAACTTTTCACATCAAATGTGTGACAGCAGATCTGTCACTTGTGATTAATATTTATGGTCCATTTCGTTCTGTAGTTCTCCTTCTGCCTGACGCTCGTCTTCCTCACTCAGCTGGCTTTAGCCGTTCTGGGCTTCTTTTACTCGGATCAGGTACCTGCTGTCTCTTTAAATACGTTTATGTGTCCTAGCTGAGTTGTTTTGTAATGTGAGGCCACTTTAAGCTCACATTTGGTCTCCAGTACTCCCTAACAGTAACACCACCATCAGCACCATTGATTTAGGGTCATCTTACAGTTTTTAGACGCTCTGTACACTTATAAACACAACTTAATAAGGCAAGTATCTGAACTCACAGATCAACTTAATGTCTGGATGTCTGCTGCGAAGTAAAAACACACAGACGAAACAGAGATAGACGACTGCTTCTGGTGGAAAAGAGAGTTTTTGATTCTTAAAAACTCAAAGTATTCATTGCAAAGACAAAGTTTGGTAAAAAAAAAAAAAAACATGTTCAAACACAAATTTATAAAGTATTAAACTAAATCCACAGAATATGTTTCTCATGATGGTTAAGGTGTTTTTGAATAAAGTTTTAAATAAAAACTGTATGCCAACCAAAACATGTTAAACTACCAAAACGCCATAGGTCAGCAATTGTGGCATCCATGAAAGAGCAGTTTGGAAACGAGACGTCAGATAAATTCGATGTGTTGTGTAAGAATTTATGCTGAGATTTGTTGAGTCAAAGTATGTTAGTGTTAGACTAGAGTTGAAAAAAAAAATATTAGAGTGATAAACTTGGCCTCGGTTTATTTGGAGACCATGGCCTCCAACTATGAGGCCATGGTCGCCAACTGGAAAAGGGTGGATTGCTCTCTTCGGGTCGAGGGTGAGGTTCTGCCTCAAGTGGAGTAGTTCCGAGTATCTTGGGGTTTTGTTCACAAGTGAGGGAAGAATGGAGCATGAGATTGGCAGACAATTTGGTGCAGTATCTGCAGTATTGTGGACCCTGTACTGGTCCGTTGTGGTGAAGAGGGAGCTGAGCTGTAAAGCAAAGCTCTCTGTTTACGTCAGTCAGTCTACGTTCCTACCCTCACCTATGGTCACGAGCTCTGGGTAGTGACCGAAAGAATGAGATTATGGATACAGGTGGTTGAAATGAGTTTCCTCTGCAGAGTAGCTGGACTCTCTTAGCGTCTCCCTTAGAGATAGGGTGAGAAGTTCAGTTATCCGGGAGAAACTCTGAGTAGAACCACTGCTCCTCCAAATCAAGAGGAGCCAGTTGAGGTTGTTAGGCATCTGGTAAGGATGCCCCCATGGCACCTCCAACAGATTTTTTTGGGACACGCCCACAACAGACAGGAACAAGCTTGTGTTTTTTGTTAGCACACTTAAAGTTGGTGAAACTTAATTTAGTGGAAGCTAATTCCAATAACAGTTTCCAAAGTTTGCGAAAACGCAAAACAGCCAAATGTAAAATTTGTTCTGCTATTAGCAGATTAGCAGAACTGTGCCCACCACTGCTTTTCTCCTTTTTTCCGCGAGGTCTTGAAACTAATGCCTTTTACAAAGCAATCTTTAACTGAGCACTTAATTTTAACATGAGCACATTAAAAAATAAGAGCAATTTTTGCTCTAATTTACATTTTAGGATCCTGATAACTATCTTTCTTCCTAACCCTGGCATGGAAAGTATCTCCTTTCATCCACTTATCCCTTCTAGGAGCATCCCATTAGGTGTCCACTGAGAATAAAAATACAACATCCAGCAGTGGCAACATTCCCTCACATCAGTGCATGGTGGCAAGGTGCCTGCTTCCTGATAATACCTCTCCTCTCCCTAGTGTTCTCTGTCAGCGCTCGGACTGCCTGCTGCTAAACAGAGCAGTTTAACAACCCTCCCAGCATCCTTCCTCGCTAAATGATTCAAATGCTCCGGCACTTCAAAGTGGAACCAAATGTTCCATTTCAAGCGATCCCTTTAAGGAGACTTTGCAGCTAATGACACGGTGGGCTTCAGAGGCCTACAAGCCACCCGTGCCACATGGAAACAAAGGGTGGCAAAGAGTGAGGGGGTGATGTTAACATTCTCACACAATTTAGTTTAACAACTTCAGGATAATAGTATTTATTAGCATAAACTGTTCCAGTGCAGTCTGTGACTGGAAAAGCATTAAGCAAACAGCTCATGAGGTTCACGTTGTGGTTAATAAAACTTTACATTTCAGAGGATTATGAGCACAGAATACCTCTATTAGCATTTATTACATTTGAAATCAGTATGTAAAACAATAATCAACTGTGATTTTGGAATCTTAAAAGATAAATATTTATTTGCAAGTAAATGAGTGACAAGGAAATTTTGCATAATGGAATTTTTTTTTTTTTTATAGGAAATAAAAGATAAAATTATTTATTTTAAGACATTAAATGTCTATTCAGTTTGAACTACTCACTAGGGATTATTAAATCAAATAAATGTATTCGAAGATACTTTTTTTGTTTATTCAGCTCCTGAGAAGCTGATTAACATTACATTATAACAAATGGCTGAGTTCAAGCAGTTATCCAGCACAGATGAATCTGTAAATCTGCGTGTGTGCGTTGCATTTGTTTAATATTAAATGCATTAAGTCTGAAAGCACAATAAGACACATTTTACAGGATGACTTTACAAAGCAGATGATATGCGTTGTCTTCCCATTTTACATACAGTATTTACTTTCATATAAGAGAGGCACTGAGCACTGACTAATGTTGCATGAAACATTTAAATTGGTATGTCTTTATGATCTGATGCATTGTTTTTGTCTTTTTATTTTGGTTCCAATGCAGATCAGTGAGAACAGCATTTTCAATGCGCATCAAGTTTTTAAACTAGCTGTTTGAATATTGGAAAAACGTTGTAATACACTTTCAGTTTACACTGAAAATAGAAGAGTTAATTTCTAAAAGCATTTTTCTTTCATCACACATGTTTCTTCAGAGGTTGAGGAATCAAATGTTTTAGTTTAAAAGTATATTTTCTTGAAAGCCCTAAAGTTTTTTGTATTTTAATACAATTTATTTTGCAATAGATCAGTGGTGTCAAACTCGCTTACAAAAGGGGGTCCAAAATTAAAAACTTGGTTCAAACGGGGCCATTTTCAGAAACTGCTTTAACTCAAGTCAGAAATCCAACATCTTCTCTTGGTCACATGTTCCTCAACAAGTTTGTTTGGTCTCATGACGTTCTCTGTTGTGCTTTCCACATCATAATCAAAGATTACAAAAAAATAATAATTCAAGTGATAAAAGCATTTTATTACTCTTAACACATCATCTTGTGGGCCAGAGAAAATGTCAGTGAGGTCCATATTTGGCCCCCGGGCCTTGAGTTTGACGTACATATACTGTACATATCTGTACATGTACCAGGAAGACCTAAAATTTCATGGTACAGTGTTGCAAAGCTACAAAGTCCAAATTAAGGCAGTAGTCAATGAAAAACTGAATTAAAAAGTCTATAATCTAAAATTAAGTTGCCTGATTACCTATGATTCTCCTGGCTGACAAATAGTTGGAAAAAATGTTACTATGAGTTTGAAAAGATTCCTACAATGATCAATTCAAAAAGATGAAAGATCTTTTATTTCACAATAATGTACCCTCAGTAAAAACTTCACGCTTTAAGAGTTTGTTTTTAAAACTTAAAAACATTTCCTTATCAAAGCTTTTATTCTGATCATATATATTTTTTTTATTTTTCCTCCAATAGACGAGAGATGCTTTTGGAAAGTTTGTGAAGAAAGCCATCGTGCATTACAGGGATGACCTGGATCTTCAGAACCTGATGGATTACATCCAGAAAGAGGTGCTCTGGCCATTTCCACTTTGATTAAGCGCATGAGTTCGTAGACAACTTGTCTTCAGACTAATCACAGCTACAGACTTATTGAACACGTCTGAGCACTAAGACAAAAACCCACAGAACCAAAGGTCTTCTTTGGATTTTAACTTTGGCCTTGGTGAGCATTTTCCACACAAGCACATGCAAGCATACATTTCCACTGTGGGATTTCTCATGTCATCTTCCTCCGCCATCTGCACATACTGGCACCAACTGTGTTAGGTTTTCCCCTGGTAGAAGCCCAAGCTGGCAGGATGCACAGTATGGACCCAGACTACATGAGTATATTTACCTGTGCTTCATTTTCCTTTCTCTCCTTTGCTTAGTTCAAGTGCTGCGGGTGGAACAACTACACCGACTGGTCCTGGAACCTGTACTTTAATTGCACGCATGAAAACCCCAGCTCCGAGCGCTGTGGAGTGCCTTACTCCTGTTGCACGCCGGTTCCTGGAGAGGTGAGCGGCTTCCTGTGTTGCTTCAGGAAAAATAAATCAACATAAAAGCAAGAAGGGATAAAACCTGCACAAGAAATGGTAAATGGACTGTAAATATATGGTGCGTTCTATCTTATCAAGACACTCAAAGTGCTTTACACCACAATCTGTGTCCTCATTTACTCATTCATACAGCACTCTACTAGATATTTAGAAAGGTAATTGAACAAATCATTCTAAAGAGACTAATCAGAGCTTTATCACATTCATACACTAATGGGACACACATCAGAGGATGAGGGGTTCAGCGTCTTGCCCAGGGACACTTCGGCATGTGACTGCTGGTGGATTCAAACCCTCAACTCTTGCATTGGAGGACGACTGCTCTAACCACTCAGCCACAGCCGCCCTTTTAAAAGAAACAGTGCTTTGAAAATGGCTGTCAAGGTTAAACAACAATATTTAATATAATTTTTTACCTTTTTTTTTAAACTGCTCGATACAATGTAACGGACAAAGAACCAACCTAGAGAACTGTTCAGACGCCTCAGAAGCAAAAAAAAAAAAAAAACCACTTCTTATTCTGCCTCTTTTGAAACGCCTATAACAGCAAATAGACGGTTGAAAAAGTTTTACACTGTAGTAAAAAATTAAATGCGTATGCATGTTTTGCTATGTAGTCGTTACTGTTCAAGAGGTTTCATAACTCTATTCAGGACACTGATGGATGATGAATGGGGAAAAAAAAAAAATAATCAAACCATTAACATTTACATTTATACACCACACAGTTAATGGTCTGTGTT